GGGGCAGCCCTTGAAGGTTCAACACAAAATGCAGTAGCACGGGCAGTTATTTGTGCCCCTATATTAGTGCACGTTACACCTCTGCTCTGAGGGCTGCATTGGCTGCCAGATTGCTTCTGAGTTCAATTCAAGATGCTGGTTATTTAATATTTATTTATTAAACCAATTTATATAGCTGCCCATTTCACCACAAGTGATTCTGGGAGGTGTACAACAAAAGTTAAGCTATGATCTTTAAAGCCCTACATGGCATGGGGCTGGGTTATTTGAGGGTCCGCCTCTCCCCAGTTGCATCCACCCATCCCATCAGGTCTGGCAGAAGGGGCATATTACAGGCCCTGTCTGCTAAGGAGCTTCATCTGAGGGGCCCAGGATGAGAGCCTTTCCTGCCATGGCACCCGCTCTTTGGATCATCATCCCCCCTGAGATGAGATTGGCCCTAACCGTATTGGCCAGAAGGAAGGCCCTGAAAACTTGGTTTTGTCATTGGGCCTGGGGAAATATGCAAAACAACTGTATTGCGTGTAGGATTTTGATTGCATTCTCCTGTATTTTCTGTTTATAGTTTTTAATTGTTCTAATTGTTTTTAATGGTTTTGTTGTAGTTTTTTATAGTTTTTTTATATTGCTATTTTTATTGTGTTAACCACCCAGGGTCATGTATGTGAGATGGACGGCTATATAAATTAAACAGAGTAAATAAATACATAAATGAACCAAGTTAATCTGTTAGAGCAAAAATAACAAAAGAGTCATGTAGCTCATTAAAAATGAACAAATGTATTATGTCTCACCCTTTCATGGACTTACATCCACTACACGACATGCATACTTTTATCCTATGTTAGGAATATATATAAATTCATAGTTAGGTAGAAGTTTGCAGGGGTGGAATTGTAGAAAGTGAGAGCAGCATGAAGTTAAAACAAAAAGTCACAGTATTTGACTACTTCATTGACAATGACAAGTACAAAAATATTGTGATATACTTGCATTAAGCTAGAGGAGACACAGTTTGAACTTTTTGCTGAACTGTAGTTCAGCTAATTCATAATGAAATATGTTGTTATGGTTCTTTGCCCAGAAACGCTCACACAAAATATGTATGATTATATAAAATAGCAAGTAGTCAAATATTATAGCATATTAAATACTTAAGAAAATGCATATAAAGTGTGCATGGTATAGTGCATTCATTGGTTTGCGGGGAGGTTGCATTTCTGAAAGCAAATTCTACATAGTAACATTTGTAATTGACAGTAATTTCTTTTTAAATTTTCAGTCATCCAGTTTGGTTTTGTAACCCTGTTTGTTGCATCCTTCCCACTGGCTCCCTTGTTTGCATTGCTGAACAATATCATCGAGATACGTCTGGATGCAAAGAAATTTGTTACTGAGCTAAGGAGGCCAGTTGCAGTGAGAGCTAAAGATATAGGTAAGTTAGTAAGTATTTATACAATATCTATAAATCATAAATATTGGATAGAAAGCAGAAAATGGTGGGTGCCCTGACCTGTGCAAGAGGAACCACTTTCTGCTAAGACAGAACCTCTACTTAATACCACCTAGTGTTCCTTACTTGTGGCAGCCTGACCTCAGTGACTAGGGAAGCTATGTTCTTCTTCTTTTGATTTCTATCATGCTCTTATTTTAACTAAAGGAATGCAAAGTAATTAACCACTTAGAGATTCAAATAATCAGTGTAAATAGCATGAAAAATTGAACAAAACATGGCTTCTCCTTAAGGCAGTGTTGTCCAAACTTGGCCACTTTAAGATGAGTGGACTTCAACTCCCAGAATTCCCCAGCCAGCATGGTGCCAGCATGGCATAGAAAGGGGGGCCATGAGCATTCTTACAGAAGACAATCTAAACTTCAGTGTAAGAACTAAAGAATCTGTGTTCCTTGGTTCCACTCCCAGCTGCTGCCTAAATTACCTCTAGAGTCACTTCCAACTCTGTGATTCTATCATCAGTGTTTATGATAATACTCTTGAATAGCTTGCTTGTCTTCTTCCAGGAATATGGTATAATATCCTCAGAGGGGTAGGAAAACTGGCTGTGATCATAAATGTAAGTATTTTTTTTTCCTGTAAATAGTAATTGAAGACAAAATTTCCATTTTCTATTCAATTACTTTCAAAATTTACTCTGATGATAGGGAGTAGCTGCGATGGCTGAAGTAGGAAAGTGCCACTAAGGAGTGAGAATATACCTGGCAAAACAGTCATAAAGATGGGCTGACACATGGGCGAGCCTCAGCTTCATTTCCCAGATGGCTGTGCCTCCACCTTTTCTCTTCTCCCCCACCCCCCTGCCAGATGGCTCCAGCTTCCTCTCTTTTGTCAAGAGGCCCATCTTTTCTATCCATTACCTCCTTTTCATTTATCCCTTGACGTCATTCCTATTTCCTGTATGGTGTAGAGCAGGTCTGTGGTAGTTCTTATTTGGCCCCAGGAGCTTCCTTGGATCCTTCCCTGTCTCTCTATTGTGTTTCCAGACTGTAGCTTTCTCACTTCTGGATGCCAACATTAATTCTCCTCTTCTTTTGCTCCCAGGCTTGTGAAGCATGGCATTCTTTGTCCTTTTTTCTGTTAGATCAGAAAGGAAGGTTGGGATTGGTTTTTAGGTGTTGATGTCATAAAGACATCCCCTAAAACAGGAGTAGGCAACCTGCAGGCCCCCCATCTGTAGCTGTGAAGCCCTCTGAGATCACCTCACAGAAAATGACACAGGAGCAAAATGGCCAAATTTTGGCAGTACAATTTTCGGCTAAAACAATTTTCAGAGGAAACTGAAACTATCCCTGGTCCCCAATAAAGACTCCCAAATTACCTGTAAGCATCACTGGGAAAAGCTGCAGTCTGGCAGCCTGGCCCCCAGGTTAAGAAAAAGTTGTACTGTGCTCTAAAGCCAAAGAAAATAGTGCAATTCCTATGGATCTGTACAGGAAAAGATCTAATTCTGAATACAAAGCCTTCCACTCTATTCTGAGATAGTATCTGCCCTGCAAACAGCAGCTAAACATTTCATGTAAGATTTATTTTAATTATGAAAGACAAAAAATAGCAAATTGCTGGATCCTAATAAAAGTATTTTTTCTACAGCATGAAGTTTTTGTGCATTTAATAAAACATCTAATTGGAGCATTTGCACAAACGGTACAAAACTTCAAAATAATGAATGTAAAGTGGTTCAAAATTGCTTCCAGCATAGCCCAGAGTTGCTCTGCAGTGAGAAGGGTGGTGACAAATTTGAAGTATAAATAAATAACAAAAGCAACATCAGTCCCCTGACAGTATCTGTTTATTGACTGTAATTTTTTTTTAAAGTAAGGTGTGTGTGTACCAAAAATATGGTGAAAGGGCAACATGGCAAACTTTGTGTAGTTACTGAATTTTGGAGTTAAAAAGTTAATGTCAGTGTTGAAATGCCTGCACTTATTTTTCCACCTGATGTTAGCTTCCCAATCAGTTTCAGCTACTCATTCTCAATTTGCTACAGTTTTAGAGCTTGAATATCAAACCGCCACGGTGCAGAGAAAACCATTAGTCTGCAGATCCGATGATATGGTTTGACCCAGTCTGATTCATGGCAGTCCCTGCTGGGGGAGGAGGCAATTGAGTCTGCTTATGTAATCAAGCAAGTGTGGCCTGAATATCTGCGCTCATTCTTTACTTTTATGGCTTAGGCATTTGTGATCTCATTCACATCTGACTTCATTCCACGCCTCGTGTACCTGTATATGTACAGTGAGAGTGGCACCATGCATGGCTTCGTGAACCATACACTATCCTATTTTAATGTCAGCGATTTTCAAGAAGGAACAGCTCCAAATGATGCTATGGAGCTTGGCTATCCAGTGCAAATATGCAGGTATATAATGTCGTTTCTTTGAAACAGCTTTCCCTAGACCACTCCTAGGGTATTTATTTGTCATGAGTCTCACCAGGTCTCATATTTAACTTTCAGTGTACTTATTCTAAGCTGTATGTATTGAAAAATGCCATCTTTCTGTAGATAAGGCTGCCTTCCCCCCTCTGCTTCTGTGCCTACGCTGTTTCTTCCCAGTTGCCATTACCTAACAATGTCAAGGGCACAAAACCTCAGCCAGTAGAACTCCATTTTTGAAAAGAGAACTTCTTTTTCTTGACAGTCTTCTAAGCTGCTATAATTGTCTAGATCCACAACAGTACCTCTCTGTAAGGCTCCATCATGATTCTTCCAGTCTGGATCTATTCTCTGCCATATACATCACACACAATAAAATAAAGCCATCCTAAACGACCTCACTGATGAATCAAACATATTAGAGGACATGAATAAATGTTTAAAAATCCAGTACCCATATGCTCATTTGTCTAATATTCTTCTAACACAGAAATCTGTAGCAGAATTTTTTTTAATGGAAAGTTGTTGCTGTTGCTTATTCCCCTCTGCTTCTAATTACCATTGTGGCTATACTAATTCTTTGAAAGAGGAATAGTACCAGGGACAACGTTCAAAATAGCTAAAAAAGACATAGCTGCTTTAATGATTCATATGCACATTGAGAAGCAACCCGTTCAAAGAACATGCACAGGACCTATTAGCTAATCTGAATCTTTCAGATATCATAAAACTCTGCGCTTCGCTATTCAAAGAGTGCCTAAATGCCAAGGCTTTATATCCCAAGGCTTTGTAAGCCATAATTGGATATAATTCAAGTTGTCTTCAGTCCAAAGATTGAAATATGGCTGGACATCTAAACCAGAGATAAGATCCCACTATTACCACCACAGAAACTTGCTCAGTTTCATATATGCTAGAATAAATCCCTGAATTGCTCCAATATCTTTCCTCCATATCCTATATAAATCTAATTTTGAAAGCCATAAAGTGGCTTTCTTGGGACTCAGAAGTTATACACTTTGCATCCCAAATTCCAATGTAATATTTTTTCATATACATTCCGTATTCTCTCTCCTAATTTAAATCATACTACTTAGAGCTTGTAATAAGCCACTTTTTCTGCTTCATCCTCCTTCCCACTTACTTATCCAATAGGACTGGGGAGGGGAACTGATAGCCTTTTAGGATGCTTCTGAACTACAACTCCCAGTACCTGTATCACTGGCCATTCTGGCTGGGACTGCTGGGAGCTGAAGACCATAAGTTTGCTGTCCCTGCCTTAGACAGGCTACCCTGGGCTGTCTTTCACTGCATTCTGAAGTCCCTACATATAATACTCACAGCATTCTTCTTTCCATGCTTCTTTGTCCTTTCACTCTAGTATTAATAAATGGCTGCATACCTCTCTGCTCTATAGCAAGCCAACCCTTTTTCTGGATAAGACTTCCAGTTAGTCAATGCCTCCTTTTCCAGACTCTGAAATTGTTTACTTGTTCAATATAATTACACATTTTTCTTAAATATGTAATGCAAAATACATAAACTCATCCTACCTCTTAGGAAAGGACATGGAAATATAATAAGTTGCTAATATATAATTATGACAAGGGCAAAAGAAATAAGCATAACAATATTTTCAACATGTCAGCAGTAAATTTAGTGTAGTTAGAGATGATAGATGATAGATAAATGATAGACAGACAGACTTTGATATGAAATCATGAATTCTCAGAACCTTCTGATTCTCAATTCTCTCCTGTTTTTCAGATACAAAGATTATAGAGAGCCTCCATGGTCTGAAAATAAATATGATATTGCAAAAGATTTTTGGGCTGTGCTTGCAGCAAGATTAGCATTCGTAATAGTGTTTCAGGTAAAGTATAATCAAAATCTGTTTCTTTGGCTTCCTAGAAAGCAAACCACAATAAAATGAATGCATGAAATTGTGTTTTTAGGAGAGCATGATACCTAACAGTATTTGAAAAAAGATATTCCATGTTCATATCACTTTTGTCCAGTAGTTGTCCAGGAAGGAAAGAAGAAATGAAGGAATCCCTAATCTTATGACCCACCAATCAATCTATCAAAAAAAGAAAAAAGAAAGGAAGAGAAAAGAAATTGCTCACTTTTTCCAAGATGGGCATTTTTAATGTCCACTAACATTCTTTTTTTATATATATATATTTACATTAAATAGAAATTATATTGTAAATTTTATGAAAATATTGTATTCTAGGATTGGCATTGTGGCAGGAACTGTTGCTTTGCACACAGAGACTCTCAAATGAGAGCCTGAGGGCCTTAAACCCATGCCCTCCTTGTAAAGTACCAGCAGCTCAGTAAAGACTGCCCATGTGAGGAGTCAGCTGTTCCCTCTCGTGTTCTCTGGAAAGAAAACAAAGGTGCCATTGGTGCTCAGCCTTTGGGCGAAAAATACTTGGTGTTGTCACAAAGCTCATCTACACTAAGTAGCTCTTCCTCTTGTCTGGCCCAACAGAAGGTCTACATTTGTCCTCAGCATCATTGGTTCTTTGGCTGGGCAGCAAGATGAAGCCAGCACCTAGCACAATTGAGAGCACCATGGGTAATAAGAAAGGCTACCAGTGGATGCCTACCACCATTTAGTGTGCAACACAGACCATTTTTCTGCCATCAGTATAGTATCTGTGGGATGGCTACCACAAGCAGGACTTCTCACCTCCTGCTTACAACAGGGTGTCCTTCACTGCAGAGTAACCAGGATTCACTGGTTTCTAAATAGCAAATGTCCTTGTGCGGATCACGCTTAGTTATGTTTCAGCTCCTTCAGGACTATTTTTCCTTTACAAGAGGGATCATTTTACAAAACTGTTGCCTCTCTGTGCTCTAAAATTTTACAGACCTTTCCTACCAGCTCAACCCTCTCAGCCTTTTCCTACTAGCTGTTGTTGCTGATAAATAAAATCACAGTGAAACTGTTGGGAGACAATTAAAACAACAGAACACAATGATTAGTGTATTTCACTGAGCTGGGTGAGATAAGCAGAAATAAATTGCTTAGGTTCCTTCTGAAGTTTGAAGTGTTCTACAGTACTTTTATCCAAGGCAATCTGGGAATGAAACTTGACCACCGGTGTCTTAGACAAGCCAAAGGTAGATGAATCAGCATGCCCAGCTCCAGGCTAGGCTCACAGTAGGGAGGAGTAGTGTTAAGCTTCTGTGTGGGCACTTCTCAATTCAGTTTGGTTTCTTTTTCTTGTTTCTAATTCTAAACTAATTATTAGTTTGGGAAGGGGAGAATTGTCTGCCTTAGTTCCCTGGCTGATTTATCTTTGTGCTATTTTGGGATCATTTCCAGAGACCTGCAGAATTTACAATCCCCTGCTAGGATGCTTCATCCAGTGCCTAATTTCTGATGGTAGAGAAGAATTGGCTTTGGAGGATTATATGGCAGATGGGAGGAGATTTTAAAGTCAGGTTTCCCCCATCTGAAAGAAACCTCCCTCCTTCTCCCGCTTGCTGGGGTGCATCTAATATAGCCTATAAGCCCCAGAAAGCCCTCCCAAGGATTGCATTTTGGGGGTATATTACTACACATATAGAATCTTATAGGATTTATTTCTGAGTAGACATGCAAGGTGGCATTCAACAACAGCTGCTGTGATACAATTTTTTAATCTTTGAATCTTCCTACATGAAGATTAGTGAGTGGGGGGTGTGTGTATTTCATTTGTCTATACCTACATCAGCTCTCAAATAAATAATTCATAGTTGATAGTCATGCTTTTCACAAGTTATAGAATAACTTTCTTTTACTAATTTTTCACATTAAAAAGTTGTTTACAGAAAAGCAGAGTTATATCAATTAATTTTAGAGTTGACATCAGGGAATTCCATTCATCGCTGCTTTGTCAGGGCCCTTCAGAATATGTGATTATGTACATTATGCAGAGACATAAATCATATATTAATTTCATGAAGTGGCTTATAGTTAATGCTCATTATCATTCAGTTCTAATCTTGGGAGCAGTTTGACTGATTACAGTGGAATGTATTTTCAAGCTTCACTGCTAGGTAGTTTATTTAGATTGGGATCATGTGTATATTTGGGGCACAATCTCTAGTTAAAGTTAAGTGCTTGTTAAGTTCTGTTGCATTTCTATGAAACAAATCCATGTGCATTCCTACATATTCATCACACTGTCCCCACTGTGTAATAGCGTTATACAGAGTACAGAAAAGATGCAAGAAATAGTAAGCCTAAGAAATTAAAAGCATGACATAAAAAAAAGAAAAGAAACATATTTGGAATTAGACATAATTCACTAGACTTTTCCATACCTTTTATCCTTGCCAATCATCCTTGTTTCCATACATCACTTCATATATAGTTGTCAAGTCTGGCAGACTCAGGAAACAAGACCCACTTGGATTTCTGGAATTATCTTTTATTGTGGTAGGTTAATGTAACAGAATCTTGAAAGTCCACCAAAGTAATTCTCTAGATCAACTTATACCTAGCATAATTAAGGCAAAGATATCCTGAGTCTGTTTCTCATGCTTCCCACCCTAACTAAATCTTTTCTGTAACAATCTTACTCCTTCCTGTGATGGTCCTACTCCTTCTTCCATGTCCCCATGGTCTACTAGACATTTCATCATAATTCCCTTTTGTTCTTCTTAACAGGACTCATCAATTCCATGCAATCATGATTTGCTTAGTCTTCCTCTCAGATTATTCACTCTTTCTTAATATATTTGTTTTTCAATCCAATTCTCATTCATTCTTTCTGCATGACCAAGTATACTCAATATATATGACTCAATGTACTTTCTTTCATTTAGATCAGTCATTTTTGTATTCAGTCCATATTCATTCAGCTATTTATTCCTGACCCAATCGCTTCTTGTTTTACCATAAGTACCTCACTCCTACTGCATTCAATTTATTTTTATGTTTCTCCTGACATATCCAACTCTCATTTCCATAGACCAAACTGGGCATAAGTATGCTCTTACACATAGCAAGTTTTATTTCTTTCAACAAATATTCATTCCTCATAACAGACCACAAGTTATCTATTAGTACTTGTACATCTTAAAATATTTCCATTTTCCTATCTTTAATAAACATTCTACTGAAATATATAAATTTATCTCCTTGGCTTAGCTCTTTGCCACATATGTTACAATTATTGATTCCATTTTTCTTGTCTAATACTGCTACCTTCATCTTTGATATATCAGTGTTCAGATCCATACTCCTCATTGCTTCACACAGTCTATCAAATATTCTCTGCCAGATATATTGCCAAGATACTTAACAAACTAATCCCCCTGTACTTTTGGGGATTCACTTTTGCTTCCTTCCTTTTACATAAGAAAACAATAGTGGCATTTTTCCCAGTCATCAGGCACAGACATCAAACAAGTTTTATAGCCACTCTGTTAGCAAACCACACATGTATTTTAATGTTTCTCCACTTATACTATCTACATCTACAGCCTTACCAATTTTCAACACTTACTGCATTTATGACTTCTTTTTCATTCTTTTTTCTCTGACATTAACATTTATAGCATTTGTTTCAATTGTATTCTTCAACATATCACTATCATTGCCATACACATTTCTAAAATACTCCTTGCAGCATTTCATCAATTCAGTTTCATCCCAAATCACTTCCCTACTTTTACTTTTAGTTCCATTCACTCTGCTGTAGGTTTCTTGTTTAGTTCTTTTTACCCACTTCCAAAACATTTTTATATCCATCAAAATTACTTTGCATTTTCTCTGCCTCTTTTAATTTAAGCCATTCCTTGCTGTATTTACTACATTCTTTGCAACTATCTTTTTCTCTATATATACATTATACAGTATCTTTCTTCCCAATTTTTTTGCAGCAATTAATTGTCTTATATGCATTTTTTCCCTTCAGCTTCTTTTACTTCATTGTTTCATTAAGCATATTCCCATTAGTTTACCTCTAATTACTTTGTGGCACTCTAACTTCTGATTCAAGAAGGTTCCACTACCTTATTCCTTTCATCCACTTTCTACTGGAACTTAATCTGTCTTCTAATATTTTTTTTACATAGGGCTTGTACTTCCTTTTCCTGCAGTCATTCTATCTTCTTTCTCATTTCTTTCATTTCTTCATCTTCTCTCAACACTATCAAAAAAGGATCTATCCCACATTCATATAATTTATAATTGTATCTTTCACTAAGGCTGTCTGTCTTTCACCAGAAACAATCACATGCAGCATTTCTTACTAACACTAAGGATGTACTGGTCAATACTGGCACATTTGTTCAGCATACCAAAGTGCAATCAAAGCCATTTTCCCCCAAGCATACTCATACTATTCTGCGCAAACTAGAGATCCTAGCTAGAGGCTACCTTGCAAGCCAACATACTGTTGCATGCATCTCAGGAATTAAGCAGTATATGCAGTGTACTGACAGATACTTGGGAATCACAAATATATGTGAAATCTTAATAATCCACTGAAATCAGTTCTTAATTTTTTTATTTTTTTTTACTCAGGCCTTAATTTTGACTTGCTAACATTTTCTTTTTTATTTTTATTTTTCAGAATTTGGTTATGTTTATGAGTGACTTTGTTGACTGGATTATCCCAGACATTCCCAAGGACATTAGTCAGCAGATTCACAAAGAGAAAGTTCTTATGGTAGAAGTCTTCATGAAAGAAGAACAAGGAAAGCTGCAGCTGCTAGAAACCTGGAGGGACAAGGATAAAAGGAGAGGTGAAAACTGTAACAATCATAGTCCCAGGTCATCAATGAGCCATAGAGGGAGTGTGTCTTCCTGTCACTCATGTCATGTTGATGTATAGAAGAAGAAATTGTTTTACGCTGGGGCATTCCGTTCATAAAGCAGCCAACACTTAATGATAGAATTTCATACTTTAACAACCTGGTGCATGTTTAAGCATATGCAACTGTTTTACTTATATCTATGTGAGAAATAATGTTCTTACAAAAAGGGAGGACCATATTCTATTTCTGACAAGTTTTCTTTTTTATTATTTTCTTTCTTTTTTTTTGCACAAAAATAATGCAGGGATTTTTTTATATATAAATAGATAGGTAACTTGCATAGTTAGCTTATAGCTATCACTGTTTTATTTTTTAAAAGGAGATAGGATTCTGTAGACTCTTCTCTGAGAATTTTATATTAGCGTATTTATTAAAATATGATAAAATGTATGAACCAAACTACAAGTATTGGAATAATAATAAGACCCCCATTCCTGATAAGCTACATCTGAAGCCTTGCAATATGCAAAATAATAGTAATAAATATTATACTGTGGAGTGCTTTTTGCAAGGCTGTGGCAACAAAGCTCTGACTTGAATCTGCCAACTTTTTTACAAGCAGAAATCCTGTTGAGTTTCCTTGACGATATGCTGAATACCCTGCATTTTCTCTTAAGTGAATGCAGTAGCAAGAATATTTTGTTTTCCATTTGGGATACTCACCTCAATTCATCACTTCATCCGCATTTCATTTACCTTAGTGACTAGAATGGTCAGACTCAGATCATTGTAATCTCGGTCTCAGCACTAGCGAGAGCAAATTACTTGACTATCTTTCATTTCTTCTTCTATGAAAGATGAACAATTTGTGGAAGGGCATTTCATTTAGTAATTCAGAGTGTCTAGTGCACATTCCAGAGGGGACTCCAGAGAACGAATATTAGCATCAGCACAATTTCCCCAAGCACTGAGGGACCTTTGAAGAAAAGGTGTCCTGAGTTAAGAGCACACAAAGAAATACTAGCAAATTGCACTGCCCACCACAAACCTGGAAGCCTTGTTGCTGAAGGAATACATTAAATAAATGTATTCCCAGTTATGGTTCTATATCATCTCCGCTCAGTAAAACCAGAAATACTGTGTTTAAAGATATTGCATCTTTCTAAAACATTAATATAATTCTGTCATTTCACTGACCAGAGTGCTATCCTAGCTCATAATATCTTCTTACATTAAGTATTTTGGCCCAGCAGCTCATTTCTAAATATTATGCTCTTCCATTTTTACAACTTCTTTGTTTTTTTCAAGTCTGATTCATTTTTCTTGCTCTCTTTCACACTGAAATGGTCAAAGAGTTTGTCTGAGCACCATCCCAGTGAAATTTGGGCCTTTTTCCTTTTTTACTATGGGATCATATGATAGAGGTTATAAGTTATAAGTATTATGGAGCCAATATAGAGATGTGCAATTTTGTCCCCTCATAATACTAGTCGTCTTATGAAAATTGATCAGGAGCAAGTTCAGAACAGAAAAAAATAAATATGGTGTCACATAATCTGTGATTACCAAATTATGTCTTTTAAAAGAGATTATACCATCTACAGAGAATAGATTAACACATGAATAGTAGAATGGTAACTAGTTGGTGCAATTGTTCCAAGGCAGTATAGGAAATTAAGTATAGCAGATATACAACAATGTAAAGTTATTGCTTTTATGCATTGCTAGTAAACTGCATGGAAGTATCTGGAATCGGGGTGCTAGACTAGATGGAACTCAGGTGTGATCCACTAGTGATTATCTTAAGTTCTGGTAACTTTAACAGTCATATAAGCGGCATTTCAGTCTTGTTCTTTTTAGATTCTCTTTTTTTTTTAAAAAAAATTCATATAAAATTAAAAATAAGAAAGTGAAAAGGGTTAGCAGAATTAAGAGACATTTCAGTTGGCCTCAAAGGAAGGTTCTCCTGTGTCCATCACCAGTGGCTGGGCATCCAAAAATAATAATGAAAAGGTGGCCAGTATGGACTTATAATGGACCCTAGCTTTATTTTTCCTCTTCAAATAGCTAAATATTTTAATTAGCACTAAGCCTGCTTTGGAAGGATGGTGGAAGAGCAGTTTGTAATCTCTGCAATCTTAGAAAGCAGAAGAACAATTCAAGGAGATGAAATTAATGACACAAATGTTAGAGAAAACCAGCAGGCCAAAGTGGTGAAAGGAGAACACAAATACATTACAGATTTTGATACAAAGTTTTTTCCTGGAAATTTGAGGAACCCATGAACAGCAATCCAATTACCGTGTGTCAATCAGTCCTAAAACTTGCCACAACAGCATATTGCAATGCAGTTCTGTGAATGTCAAAGTCCAGCTGAAACAGGAATAAATCCTGGTAAAGACTGACTCCATAGCCCTTCAAGCCAACTTCTATTTTAAATGTTGCCCTTGGCTATCCATACATCAGCAAGCCAAGGTAGAAGAAGGAATGAAGAAGAGCTTGACCTGTTGATATGGATGGCAAATACGAAGCAACCTATATAGAATTCTTCAGATATGGTATGTGGTTGAAAATGTTGATGAGATGCAGGTGTATCATGGACAAAATATAAAGGGATGTCCAACCTTCATTGTCTTCCTGTTAGAAATCAGCATGCAGTATTTGCTTCTTCATACATGCTGAAGGCCCAACAGTTTCTGACAGCAAGCATCTGATCTGAGAAATGAAGGAGTAGGGAAAATCAGTTAGTAGTCTCTAGGCAATCTTCGCACACTCTGCTTCTGCCAAACATTTGGAAACAAACAGCACTGTTGACAGGGTCTGGGCAGCCGAGGAACATGACAACATTCCTCCCAAAGTAATCCAAGAGGCAGATCTGGATTATAAATCCTAGACCTGGAAGAGCCTTGCCAAGACTCAGTTACAGCTACTATATCAATCCCTTTGCTTAGGATAAAAAGCAAAGCCTCCTTGGAGTCACACTCAATGCCTAGTGACTATTTTGACACCATGTGGCTTTCTTGGTAACAGTATTGAAGTGGATTGCCATTGCTATCTTCTGAGATGATTTTTGGACTTGGGCTTCTTCAACATTCAAATCTAGGCTGTAGCCCTAGTATTTATGGGTAGTCTCCCATCAAAGTAGTGATTGACTAGGTGCTTAGGATCAGGGTAATTAATTGCTGAAAAAGGATGGTTTAAAGATAGATAAGCCAATGAAGTGTGGAATCAGAATCAGAATTATAGGTACCACCACAGTTTGTGTGTTCCTTGACAATGCATCAGTTCAGTCTTACCTACATTTTCCAAAAGGTTAAACCTGTGCAAGTCTGTCACTTCAGCTATGCAGATTTCATGAATGCATGGTTTTGCATAACAATTTGTCTCAATATAAGCTGCAGGACCTCATAAAATATACCAAATTAGTCATGTAGTACAGATTGAGAATGAAATAGAGAAATGAAATCAAACTTAATTTCATTTGCAATTAAGTCTGGTAGTATATTGCAAGTAAGCCTACTGTGTGCTTTATTGAAAAAGCCAATGTCCAAGACTGTTATATTTCGGTTTTAAAAGTTTGTTGCAAAATTATTTAACATAAAATCACCATTTTGTAATATATATTAGTTTTAATATAAATTATGCAATGAATTCAGTTCTTTTTAAATATAATTTGTCCAAGAATCTCTGTATGTGAAAATGTATTATGTTAATGAAATTTTGTTCAAACATAATACTCTTGCCAAAGATTATTCTGAATAAAGGGCTTATTTTTTTGTTTATAACTGCATCTTGTAAACTGAACTGCAGGAATGTCACTTATTTTAAAATCATATTTAAAAGTCTTTTATTATAAATGTAATCAGACTTATCTACCTTTCTTGACATAGGATCTATGGAAGAAAATATTTGACCTGATACAATAAGTGTGTTTTAGCTGTGCTAAGAGCTTTATACAAAGTAGAATAGCTTATGTTTATATACTGACCTGTATGCATGAATTTGGATTTAAATATGCAAGCATTCAATGAATTTCAGATGCCAAAGTGTCCCATCCAAAGATACTGGATAATGTGGATGAAAGTTCACATTTCTTTTTGTTACTTGATGCAGATGGGAGTTGGTTTCCACTTGCAATACTAAAAAAATGTTCTGTGTTAGATGTGATGACACACACAGAAGGATTTAAAGTGTAATCTGTTCCAGGCTTCAGTAAGTTTATATATTTTCTAATGTAAATAAACATTTGTGCATACAGATAAAGATACACAAATGATAGTTTCTGTCACTGCATTTCAGTCTCCCCCACCACCGAACATACATACTCACCAATCATAAACTCAGGAGAAGTTTATTTTCAACAAAAGCCAAACCTGCAAGACATTAATTGTATGATTCTTGGGTTAATTATGAACCCAATTACCCAACTTTTTTGTCATAATGTATAAAAAAGTACTACTGAGAATTATTTATTATAATAATAAACCCAAAAAATATTTGAGCAGACCAGACTACTGCATAATAGTAGCACTTAGAACCTGAAAGGGAAAAGGTTCTTCAGAGCCTGCAGAAGCATGCACTTAGCACCTATCAGCAACTCCTTAAATCTTGGATTGTGCTGCAGTGGTGGAGGACAATTACACAATCCAGGGAAAGACACAGCTGCTTTAAGAACTTGCAGATGTGAGTACATGAGCTTCCTTGCACACTCCAAAATGTTTTTTCCCTTCATAGCTGAAGCACTGTGCAGCTCTACTATATGTGTGTTCTTTGAAGAGGAAAGATGGAAATCAGAACTAACTCTTCATCAGAGGAACTTATGTCCCCAATTCTGTTTCTAAACACAGCTTTATGCAACGTTAGAGCAGCTGAGAACGTTCAGTATTAAGACAGGAGCTGGCTTCATTTCCCTTCAGCAGCCAAAACAAAATTAAAAAATGTTGAGGAAAGCAAGCTACATTTGTAAACAGATTGTGGTTGTAGAAGGGCATGACTATAAGGGAATCAAGAAAGTAGTAAGATGGAATTACTTCTTTTCACAAACACCAATTAATCCAATTTTCCTATTACTATTAGACTCCCTATATTCAGGTATAATATACTTAATTGTTATGTCCCAATTATTCTCACTAGAAATTAGGAAGAATGTACTAAACAAAATATATGAGGTTCATTTCATGTTTTATCAACTTGCAGTTGACATGGATGGCCCAAGTTAGCCGGGATGGGGGATGATTTGGAAATAAAAGAAATGTAAAGAATAATCTTAAAATGTTGGCATAATACTGACATTCCTGTAAATATTAAGACGATATACTTAGAAATGTTCATTTTCTGAGATCATTAAAAATAACAACTGCTTATGATTCTTTTATAGTTTCTTTTGTACTACATTTTTTGAAAAAGGGTTTTGTATATAATGTTGTATCTAGAAAATTATATAATGTTCCTTTTCATGGACTCTCTTTTTTTAAAGAAAAGTAAATGTATACTAAAGCTCTTTAGTTTTTTGTTGAATATTTATTTGTATAACTAATATTCATTTAAACTTTCTGACAAAATGCCATTCTATATTCATTTGAAGAGGAGAGGAGAATGGTGTTGAACTTGAGATATGCAATATGTCAATTGAAACAGATTTATGTTTCAGGATTTCAGTAAGTGTTGAGAACACTGTTACTTTTTGCCATCTGGAAAATCTTCCGACATACAATGATTTTCAAAATTGAGGTTTGGGGTACTTCCAGATAAGGCTTTCCTTGTCCAATCTTTGCACAGAATTTTATGGATAGTCTAGGCAGTATTTTCCACATCTAATTATTCCATATTTCCCCACATCTTCCATCTCATTTCTTTGCATAAAAACAATTCAGACTGAAAGTGGTAGGAATCATTAACGGTGAGGGACACTTGTCAGGGGAAAACTGTTATGAATAGAAGAGAATAAGGCATTATCTGATTAGCAAACATAATAGAGACTTACATAGTGTAAACATATTAGATGTCAACTCCCATAATTCCCCCATCTGGCATGGAAAATAAAGGCCAACATGTCTGGAGAGCCACATGCTGATGAATTAAACTAACTGTACCATCACTCTCTCCTCGAAATGCTAGTGCTATAACCATGAGAGCATGGTAATACATACAATGGAGTTCCTGGTGTTTTCCTAAAAACATACCACAATACAAGCACCAAAGCCACACATAGCAGAAAGGTAGTGCTCAAGCTCTTTCACCAAGTGTCATGATTTCACAGACAAAGATATGAATCCAGCCAGAATGTCACCACCTGAGTTCATGCCCATTCAGGGTTTACTGCTGTTTTGTCTTATTTTAGAACATTGCAAAATAGATGGAAGCTCATTCTCTCCCACCTAATTTTCTTAAGTGAATGCAATACATACAGGGTTTGCCTATATCACTGTTTTCTTGATCACCAGCTTGCTTTGATTTAGTTCAACTAATATGTTTTGGTATATGAAGCTGGTCCTCCTACTTTAATGCATTCCTCCAGAGAACCATACAGCTCCCAACCTGATGATGTTCCAAAAGTTTTTGAAAACTTGGCTTTAATCCCAGGCCTGGGTGTAGGGTGGCTGTTGAGTCCCTGTCTGTTTTTCCTTGGGGTGTTGTGTTTGTTCCTTCCAGACATTCATGATCTTTCCCTCTTGTTTTATTGTTCTTACGTTTAAAATGTAAGCTGCCCAGCAGCAGCAGAAAAGTAAACTGAAAGCAACTCCACTTAACATGCAGTGGTGCCAAGAGAAGATCAAAATGTTAAGCCACCATCTGCTGTAACAGAGACAAGAATCTTATCATCTCTATTAGAATATCTCATGTACCAGATCCTCTACCCACTAGAGCGGGACATTGGAGCTTCTTAACCCTGAAAGTAGCTCTCACCCCCACCTAGAGATGTCAGGGATCAAATCTATAGTTTTCTACATTCAGAGTATATTTTTGATCTATAGCCTTTCTCTAAGTGAGGATTAGAAAAACAGGAAACGACCTTATATAAAATTCTGCCACTAAGTGGCCAAGCTCCTTGTAATAACTACAACGCAAAAGCCAGATAAACTGGTTTGAACTGAAATTAGAAGTATTATTAAATGGGAAATATAAGGGATATTGGTTTTTGGTAAAGCAACTGTGTCAAACAGGATTGAAAATGGAGTATGGATGGAAAAAACTGGCTGAAACATTTGATTTAACATATATTTGGCACTGCTTATTAACCTACATGAGCACACACATACATAGGATGAAACATTTGAAATTCAAATATCAGATCTGGAAAATATAACAGTAGATATTTCCAGGAAAAAAGAAAAAAGAAACCCTAGAATTGTTTGGTTAGGAAGAATTGCAGCTATTTAAATGAATATTTTACTAAGATTTAATTTTCCAAATTATTCCAATATATATTGAAGACAACATACATAAATAAGAAATGTTTACGGCATACACAAGTAATGGACTACATATAGTACAATAAAAAGATTTTACAGCATTTGAATGGCTTCAAATTTTAAACTGGAACATCATGCCACTTGCCTAACATGGATTACAGAGTGGGTTGTATCTCCTCACTGCCCGGCCACCTGTATGGATGGGGCAGGACTTCCAGACAGTCTGCACAAATATCTCTAGATTGATTCAAACCAAAAGAAGCAATTTATAACTGATCATGCAACAATAAGCAATGTATTGCATGTCTGGAATAAATAAGGAAATTAAATATGTCCAGCATTTTCCCTCTGATATACTATTAAATGTTTACTTTTATGAAGAGGAAAGCAGAAAGGCATTTGCTCAGTGAAGAGAATAATTTGTTCAGATTGCAATATTTGATTGTTAATAAAACAAAGATAAAATATTTTGAGACTCCTACTTTACAATGGCTTAGTCTACGTGACCACTTTCAGTATCTTCAAATAAGCACAGTATTAAAAGAATTGGAGAAACAAGGGGGAAAACTTAAGATGTGGTTGAATCTGAAAATCTTATAATATGTAACTCAAGCATCTGCTGGGCCTTATTTATAAACTGCTGGTGAAGTATGATCCAGAAAATGAACAAGTCAAAGATTATATGATTAAATGGATGCAGAATTTAGATGCAATAACAGTCATGCGACAATGGGAATTTCAGGGAATAAGAATATTAAATTCATACTTAATATTATACTTAGAGAAAATTGATATAAAATGTTTTATTGTTGGTATATTACTCTAATTTTGATTACTAAAATGGATAGTCCATTTTCTAAAAATTGCCAGAAATTAAATGAGCAGATCTAATTATTCTTTCATATCTGGTGGCAATGTTATAAAGCTTGACAGTTTTGGAAAATGTTGCATAGAGTATTAGAATGAATGAATCTTGAAATTCAATTTAAATGATGTTTTTACTAAAGACCATATATTGTCCCAGTGTAAACTGAATTAGCTTTGTACATGCTAACTGTTGTAAAGATATTATATACCTTTTATATCTATGGAAAAATGGTTAACAAAGTTATAGTAGTATGCCTCAATATCTAGAAAAACTTTGTACCTTAAAAGTAAATCCAACACAGAATCTAATTCAAACTGGAAACCATTCCTACACTACAATTCAATACATGTATTTGTACCACATCCCAAATTTGGGGTTCTCTTGGTATAAAGTCTGTATTTCAATTTTATACAATTTCTAAATTGGAGTAGACTTTTAGTAGTATAGATAGAATTTATTGCAGCTTGTGATCTCATTTTATGAATTAAACTGTGCCAATCATGATTCCTTCCTGATATTTATGCTTTGCTTAGAGCGTAATAGTGATTATTCAGTTATTCACAATCAATTAACAATATACCAGAAAATTATAATCTCTATGACAGTTTAAAATCCACTTCTCTTTTATCCCTTTTGGGGCGTTCTTTTTTCTTCCCTGTTTATATAGTTTCTCTAAAATGTCCAATAAAGATATACAGGTAGTCCTCAACTTATGACCGCATCCAATTTTATGACATTTTTTGTAGCTGTTGTTAAGCGAATCACCACAGTAATTAAGTGAATCATGCAGTTCCCCATTGATTTTGCTTGTCAGAAGCTAGTTAGGAAGGTTGCAAATGATGATCACGTGACCCCAGGACACTGCAACCATCATAAATACATGCCGTTTGCCAAGTGCTCAAATTTTGATCACTGACTGCGGGGATGCTGCAAGTATCATAAGTGCGAGGACCAGTTGTAAGTCACTTTTTTCAGTACCATCATAACTTCGAACAGTTGCTAAACGAATGGTCATAAGTCAAGGACTACTTGTATTAATATTTTTAAAAAATGATTCAAAATTGCAATTAGATTGCTAGCTGCTGTATGATATCCCAACATTTCTAGAGTAAATAGTAATGTACTATTACTAAAGAGTCTATTTTGTAAATAATCTAGTTTAAGGAAGATAGAGTACTTAAGTATTTCTAGATGTTGTTCCTTCACATTTGCTTCTTCCCAATGGAGTTTCTCAAGAAAATGGCTTTTGTTTTTCACCCTTGAAATTAATTTATATTACATTAAGTCTGCTAACAAATTCATATGTATCCTTGTCATCCTTGTGCAATTATTTCCATATGCAGGACTTTGGGTTGTGGTTTTTTTCCCCCATAATGGCATGCCAAATTTTGAGAAGTTTGGTTTGGCCATGAGAACAATAACTTTTTACAAAAATGATTTTAGTCAATATAACAGTAGCAAAGGAAAAGAATTAACAATTTAAAAATACTTAAAAGCCACTCTTGAAATGCAGTTTTTGAATTCTTTGCCACATCATATATTTGCTTGAAAAGTAAATTGCAAGGAAGCATTTGAAGGCAGAATTGACACAGGAAAACTTATCTATCTATCTATCTATCTATCTATCTATCTATCTATCTATCTATCTATCTATCGGATCCAGTGCTTAAAATTTTCTATTGGCCACAGCTATGCCTACTGTGAGTAAGTGTGAAATGGCACACACCATGATAGCCAGGGCAAAAAAGCAGCAATTTGCTGATTATACCTTATACTTATAGGTTTACTTTCAGGGAAGAGTATAAAGGTATCTGTGGACTTTCTGTCTCAGCTATCAAAATAATTTGGCTCTGGATCACATACATCTTCAGCTATTTTTACTACTAATGTTCATCAAAGCTGCCTTTGGATCAGGAATGTCATTAAATTATCTTGCGTTTTCATCATATAAAAATATATTGTAGGTTCCTCAGCAGTTTCTCCAGTATTGTTCATCTACATCTAATATCTAACCACTTAGCATTTTGTGTACACTTCATAGATTGTATTTTCATATATTGGCTGGGTTCATACATTCCACTAAGCCTTTTCTCTCTCTCTCTCTCTCTCTCTCTCTCTCTCTCTCTCTCTCTCTCTCTCTCTCTCTCTCATACACATACACATACACATACACACAGACAGACAGAC